ACAACAACAACAACAACAACAAAGCCTTAATCCCACTACATGGGGCCGACTACATGATTCCTTTTTCTCCATTGCGTCCTATTTAGTGTCATATTTTCATTTAGTTCTAGTAAATTAAGATATTTTTTTATACAATAAGTCCAAGTCTTCCTAGGTTTATCTCAACCTTTCTTAACACAAGTCAAATCTAAAACATCTACTCTCCTAATCGGATCATTAGATGGTCAACATTTAATGTGACCAAACCATCTAAGATGAGTTTGTCTAATTTTGTCTGTCACAGGAGCTACATCAATCATATCACGGATATAATCATTTCGCATTTTGTCCCTAAGTGTAAAGCCACTCATCCACCTAATCATTATCATCTCGGCAACACTTGCTTACTATTATGATTCTCTTTTAAAGGCCAACATTCAGTGCCATAGAGCATTGCAGATCACCACCGTCTTATAAAATTTTCCTTTCAGTCTAAGCGGTACTTTTCTATCACACAAAAGGCCCGAAGCATTCCTCCACTTCAGCCAACCAACTTGAATTCTACTATTAACATCCCCATTTATATCACCGTCGCTTTGAACAACAGACCCAAGATATCTAAATCGATCACACCTTTTAATAATTTGATCACCCAAGGTCACACTTCTGTCACTAGAGCTACTTTTACTAAAATTACATTCCATTATTCAGTTTTAGTTCTACTTAAATGAAGGTCTTTAGACTCCAATGTAGACATCCATATTTTAAGTTTTTCCTAGGCTTTTTCTCTCGTTTTATCCACGAGAATGATATCATCGGCAAAAAGTATACACCAAGGTACATCCTCCTGTAGATGCCCTGTAAGGCCATCCATAACTAAAGCAAAAAGAAAAGTCTGAAGGAGAATAATTTCACTTTAACGGAGAAGTAGATTTAATTTTAGTTTTTTAATGTTTGTCTGGATTTACACTAATTTTTTTCAAAATTATGATACCAAGCGCTACCTAAGAGTGGCATCCTGCAACAACCATAGCTTTAGAATACGGCCCATAAATGTATTTAACAAGCCGTGAAGGGAACTTCGTTCTACTGTAAGATTATAAAGGTGTCAACAAATAGGTTTTTGTGGCAACATTTTCTCTATTTCTTTTATGTTTTTCTTTAACACATCAATCTTGATCCTATGAAGTTCAAGATCAAGAAGTTCGATGGCCAAAGGATTTTGGCCTTTAGTGAACCAAGATGTGTTATGTTATTGCACAACACGGACTTAAGGCAAGAGATTGAGATATATGGAGAAAGCGTATACTTTTATAAGTATGTCTAGATTATAAAGGTGTCAACCTAAAGCTTAGATCATGAAACCAAGGTCATGATATATAAACCGCTCAGAACAGATTTCTCCACAAGTCAAGAGTTGTTTGATAGTCTCACTAAATCAGCAGTTACTAAACTAACCAATATAAAAAATTAATAAATAACAAAAAAATGTCATCAAAGTCCAAATTCTCAACCACTTTGTGGCCAACCTTATCAAACAAGAGGCATTTGACAAAGCTAGATTAACAAAAAAATTTTGGGGAGCTGCACACCAAAGAGGCATCAAAGGGATGCAATAGTTTTGTATGGGCCGGTTATAAAACTAGCCAAAGAATCAGCATCATTTAACATATTCTTCACACTATCTCGCAAGCTTATGATGCAACGATGTTGTACTATGTTGTTTCTCACTTTCAAAACATGCGACACCTCTAACATGTATTAGGTATTATTTCATCTGTATGCCAATTAAGAACTGGAAAAAAATATTGGACACGAGTCAAACATTTATGTGACGGAAAACTTTCTGTCTTCTTATTATTTAATTGAAAGCATATATTACATATTTATACACTCTATAAATTCTCTATATTAAAAATAATCTAAAATAGAAAGAATCTTGTAATTAGATCACCTCTAATTAGGTTGCCTAATATCAAGTTTCCTAATATACAATATTCAAATTTATGAGTTTCCATAACACTCCTCTCAAATTGGAGCATGGATATTTATCATACCCAGCTTGTTACAAATATGAGTGGCCCTAGCTACATTAAGGGTCTTTGTGAAGATATCCCCTAGATGTTCCCCAATCTTCATGTGAGCTATAGAAATTAGATTCTGTTGAATCTTTTCGCGAACAAAATGACAATCTGCCTCAATCTGCATAGTTCGTTCATGAAAAACAAGATTCGAGGCACAATGGATTGTGTCTTGGTTATAACACCATAACTTAGTTGGAACTGTCATCTTAAAAATCATCTTGGTCAAGAGTTGAGATACCCACATCAATTCACTTAAAGCTTGTGTCATCGCAAATACTCAAATTCAGCACAGGACCGTAGCAGTACAATAAGTTGCTTACTCTTCCATGAGACCAAATCACCACTTACAAAGACATAATATTCAGTAAAAAATCTTCAATCAAACTTTGAATTTGTCCAATCTGCATGAGAGAAATATTCAATATTTCTATACACGTGATCTTGATATAAAATACTATCCAAGAGCCTCCTTGAACTAACATAGTATTTGTTTAAAGCTGGCTAATGATGAACTGAGGACGAAGACATAAACTGACTTATAGTGTTAATTGAATATGCAATTTTAGGATGAGTTACTATGAGGTAGTTTAATTTTCCCATTAATTTTTATACGCTTCGGGATTATTAAAAATCTCTCCATGCTTGGTAAGTTATTGATTAGGAAGCATCGAAGTACTGCATGGTTTGACCACTATATTCTCAATTTTTGCTAACAAATCCAACACATACTAATGTTGAGATAAAAATGCACCCTTCCTGCTCCTTTACCTCAATACCTAAGAAGTACTTCAGTATTGAATTGATTTTGAAGAAATCATTTCAATGATAAGATTCTCTACATATCGCTTCCAATAATAATAATAATATCATCAACAGAAAACAACAATAGAATTATTCCTAAATCGGATTGCTCATAGAATATAATGTGATCACTTCTACTTTTCTACATCCCAAACCATTTTGCTGATTGGCTAAATTTTTCAAACCATAGTTGAGGGCTTTGCTTCAAACCATACAAAAACTTCCGAAAGCTTAATTTCTCAAACTCCTCCTGAACAACAAACCTAGGAGGTTGCTCCATGTATACCTCTTCCATAAGAACACCATGCAAAAAAGCATTCTGCACATCTAGCATTATTCATTACAAATAAGGGTAGGAGTAGGCAATGTGAAATCAACATAGCTACAAGAGAGAATGTGTCCGGGTAGTTGATTCCATAAGTTTGGGCATAACCCTTAACAACCAACCGAGCATTAAGACGAGCTTCAGATCCACCAGATCAAAGATTAAATGTAAAGTCTCACTTATAACCCACCAAAAGGTAGTTAACTAGTTCTCAAGTTCTATCTCCAATTATGGCAGTCATCTCATCAAACATCGTTGTCTACCACCCATAATGGGCTCGTGCTTGCTAAACAGATCTTGGAACCATATCAGAGTCAAGAGAAGGAATAAGCGAGCAATAACTGGAAGATAAATTTATATAGTTAACAAAACAGGAAATGGGATAGACACATTGGCATTTATCTCTTCAAAGAGGAATAGGTAAATCAAGGTCACTGTAAAGAGAATCTACCGAGGAAGATTACCCTAGTGCCGAAATAAAATCTAAGGAACAATGTCTTCTCGAGTAAACATTAATAATAGGCGGTCAAGGTTAAGGCACAAGAGAAGAAGTAGTTGGATTTAAACATATGATGTGATATATTAATAGCTCATCAAAATCTTATGAGGAATGCTTAAGAGGATATAGCACCTCAGTCACAAAAAATTGTGTTTGTTCATGAAAGGTGATATCAATAGAAATCATGTAGCTATTTAAGAGAGGAAAAACATTAATATCTTTTCTGCAGACAAGAATATCACAAAAAGACAGGCATTAATGTCTTAGAATCCAATTTAGAAACTTGTGGGTAGGACCATCAAAACGGCTCGTTGTTTGCAAATAGCTTGTGTTCAGCTCGTTAAGTACATCATGTTCGATTCATTTAATAAGCAAGAAGGTCGAACACATAATTTTTTTGGGCTAAATATATAAATGAACTGAACACGAAGAAAGATTTATTTGTTTGTGTTTGGCTTGTTTCAGCTTGAAATAATTATATATATATATATGCAATGCTACAAAGATTTATAATCAATTAAACTTATTAGTTACAAAAATAAAATAAAAATATATTAAATTCTATTTAAACGAATAGTTTAATATGAATAATAATATTTAAATCTTGCTCCTATATTTAACATCCTACGGCTGCATGACTAAGACTGTCAAATGGCTCTTTGTTCGCAAACAACTCGTCTATGGCTCGTTAAACAAATTTTTTTTTTACGCTAGATTTTTTAATGAATCGAACACGAAAAAAGAAATTTTTTAATGAGAAGAGTTTGTCGAGCCTGGGCTTGCTTGAACCCGGCTCGTTTACATCCCTACTTTTTGGTGAGTATCACGAACAAAAAAAGCACACCAAATAAGTGTAGTTCAATAAAAAAAGAGAGTTGGTTAGAAATAAAACTTGATAGGATTCTATAAATCAATGGAAGACAATCGGCTGATAAAAGAACATGCAATAGAAGCTGCATCAGCCCAAAACTATTTAGGCACATTCATTTGAAAAAAAAGAGCTACAAATGTTTTAAGAAAATATTCATTCTTCCTTTCAGCTATTCTTTTTTGGGATGGAGTATCAACACAAGGATAATTGGCGAAGCATCTACAGAAAATATTCTTTGACATTGTTAAAATTCAGAATCTTAACCAAAACATTGAATTGAGTTTTAATTTTGGTGCAAAAAGAAAATTGAATGTGATAGCAACTAAGTACAAGATTTCATGAAGTAAAGTCGAGTCATATGAGAAACATTATTCATATATGTGACAAAATATCAAATTTCATTAAATAAAATAGAACAAGATCTCCACACATCAGAATGAACCAACTCAAAATTATGACTTAATCTTTTATTAACTCTTGAGACAGAATCAAAACAAAAGGTATTTAGCAAATTTACAACAGTCATAATCTATAAATGATAACTAATGAAACTAAAGAAATAAATTTTTCAGCATTGAGAGTAATGGATTTCATAATCAACAATGGATCACAAAAGAAAATAAGGTGTTGGAACATGTAACGAGTCGAGGTACCTCGTTATAAAAAATGTATAGCTCCTCTGATTCTCGTCATTTACCAATAATCTTCTTCATCATAAGATTCTGAAATAAACGATGGTCGAGAGATAATAAGACACAATAATTAAGAGCACGTGTAATTTTATCAACATAAATAAAATAAAAAATGAATTGAGGTTAACTGAGAACATAAGTTAGAGACAATATCGGTGCAATATTGATGGTGTCAAAACCAAAAACATTAAAAGAAGATATATCTAATAAAGTGATAGAAGACAAGTGCTTATGAAAAAAAAAGAGTTTTGGATTACCTGTCATTTAATTTGTAACACGGAACCAAACACACTGTGTGGAAGAGGAAAGAAGAACAAGAATCATTGTTACCTGAATCAACAAGAGTAGTGAATGGGGATTTCTTGGATGCTTCCTGAAATTTAATGAACATAGCATATTCATCTGCAGAGTTCAAGAAAGTCTTAACTCGGAGAGGTCTCACTAGTAGTGACTATATGAGATGACTGTGATTTAGACCATTTATAGTTCTTTTTTAGCAACTTATGAAATGTTATCTTCGTATGACAAGTTTCATGACAGAAATAGCACACTACATTCGACCCTTGATTTCCAAATTTTGGAGTTTCACTTCTGTAATTTTTCTGAGATTTAGGTTTATTGATGTTTGTTTTTTTCTAACTAGCAAAAGCACTAGGTTATTATACAGATGTGGCCTGAGAACTCTGAATCATACACACTACCTAGTATAGGCTTCCCTCGGAGTAGTACAATCAGGGTCAGATGAGATCTATGATTTGACACTATCATGCTAAGAGTTGAGGCAAACTACAAAACTCACAATAGCTAATTGTTCTTTTTTAGCCTAATGAATCCAAACATCAGTGTTGAATGGCAATAGTGCGCTCAATGCTTCATACACACATTTAAAGTGCAAGTGATATGTGTTAAGTTACTGATCATATCGTACAGCTCGATAACACTCCTTGCATACATAAACTATTTTAGAAATATTATATCACATAAAATACAAACACCAATTTGTTACATTGCATCTTTAACATTGTCACAACGAGTAACATGAACAGATTGATTAGAATCGATAAAGTTATGTATTTGTATCAATAGTTGGGCGTCCACTCCAATTTGCTCTGAATGATTCAACACAGTCTCAGTAGGGGGACTATCAATAAGATGGCCTCTTGAAAAATACTTCTTAAATAGAATCTCATAATTTTATTCTAATAAAAATAATTGATATCATTTAACTTTTCATCAGTAAATATAGCCAATGATAAAACCAAACCTGTCATAAGGTGTTTGTATTCATCGGCCATAATCGATGTCATTCAATGTTGAAGGACCAATTGCCAAAGCAGTTCAAGACAAATAACTTGATGACCCACAGTTTAATGATTGTCAAATAAAGGAAAAAAATTTGAACCTAAAAAGTCAAGCAAAAACCAAACACAGCAACCGAGGAAATTGACCTAAGCAGACCAAGCAGACAACAGAATAATGCAATCGAGAAAATCAACCTAAGCAGACGTCGACAAAGCCAGCACGATCCCAAGCCAAAGTGGAATGATGACATCGCTGATGAATTGCTTCCAGACGAAAAAGAAGCTGAAAAGAAGTCAATGCAGATGAAGCTTTGATCAATGCCCTAATCCCATAACTGGAAGAGGATGCTTTGATCAAAGCAGATGAGGCCGCACGATGCAAACAAAATAGTTGTGAGTTAAGGTTTCATTCGCTTCGACGAAAGACATGGACAATCGAAGAAGATGCTCTGACGAACGACGCAACGATTGATGCTGATGAAGAAGATCGATGCGGACAAGGCTGCACTTGAGTGCGGGGAATGAAGTCAAACAAAGGAAACAACTAGCCATGCGTAGCTCTGATACCATGTGGCAAAAAACTTCCTTTCTTCTTATTTTCAATAGAAAGCATATATTACAAATCTATACACTCTCTCAACTCTCTATATTAGGATTAGCTCTAATATAGAAAGAATCCTGTAATTAGATCTCCTCTAATTAGATTGTCTGATATTATGTTTTCTAATATAAAAGATTCAGATTTATGAATTTTCATAATAATTTCAAATATGAGTGTTCTTGGATGGCTAAATTTAAACACTAAATGTAATTTTATTTTCTTCAGCCACTTTTCCTTCACACGAGTGCCTGCATTTTGCTCACAAAGCATCATATGCCCAAAATGTGTGGGCATTTGTCAATTAATTTTTGTTTTCTATGTCAAATAATATCTATGAGCAATGACAGAATTGCTTTTTCCCTTTTTTGGTATCATTAAATATCATAATGTTTTACATCATTGTAATTTTGGATGATTTACATATGTACCACTCAATTCTTATGTACTTACATATCAAACACCTAAGCTTCAATATTACATATATGCCACCCTACCTATGCACGAAAAGGTGTATTTCACTGTTTAAAAGTTAAAAAGGTGGTACACTTGATTTGATATTAAAAATTTGGGTGGTTTATATGTAAAAAAGTAAAGTATAAGTGCTAGACATATAAATACATGGGAATTGCGTGGTATGCATTTAAATGCCCCAATAATTGTAGGGTTTTATGAAACCTTTCATATTTTATTTAATTTGTGCAATCAGTATACAATAATTTTAACAATTTTAAAAATATAAATTACATTGTTGAATCAAAATTTGTTAGTGCCATATACTCTTTATAACAAATATGACAGATGTTTGTAATATGTAAAATCCATATCCCCATGTCGTTATGGTGCATCATGGCATTCAAATTATGTTCAACCAAATCTTGGTAGTCTATAAGATATGTGATCTTCTCCTTCCTTGATTCATTAATAGGATCAGAATAATAATCACCAAGTTCGATCATTTCTTGAGGCAAAGCAAATTCCCAAATTTATAAAATCAAATATAACAACCCCCTTCTACATATATCAATCAAAATTTCAACCAGCCAGCCATTAATGAAGCAAAAGCAAAGCAGGTAAACAAGTCTGTAAATTGATATAATTATATGAGGCATTGCCCTACCAATGGGCCCTATAGACCGATCAGAATAATGCCACGGTTGGTCAGCCATTAGGCAGGAATTTCTTATTTGATGGCATCATCAATCACAAAAGCTTTCTAGGATTCCTCACGCTGCATATTGTTTATCCGAACTAAAAAGTCTTGGAGGAGGCACACACCGGCCAGGGTGGCAAACAACATTCAGCTAGGCACCGGCCCCAACACAAAATGAGGTGAAGAACACCAGAAAATCTTTCAAAAAAAGCATACCCGCATCAGCCTATTCAACAGCTACAACCTAACACTAGCCCTTACCCCTTCGTCATGTGATGAAATAAATTTTGTCAACTCTCTCCCATCTGAAATGGGCAAAAACTGCTTCTTCTAGTATAACTGATCATTTAAGTAAATGGAATGCGGTGAAAGTCTTTGAGAATGAATTAATAAACATTATCATGCAATCCCTCTGGTCAAACATCGTTACCAGGGGGGGGTCAAGCTTTCATAAATATTAAAATAGTTCTCAATCACAAGTGACTTGAGACTCCCTCATTGACAAAAAAAGGCCCATTGTATCTAGTCAAACAAAATCCAACCAAGCAAAATTATTGTAAATAGCGACTCAGCAGATCAATTTAACCGACATTTAGGGCCAACAAAATGACCCATCCAACAAATCCAAGTAAAACGCCTCATTAGGCTCATTTTATTTCCATCTTGATTTGTATTTCACCGGTTTCTTATAAACTCGGCTTATCTTCCAGTCATCCGTGCTTGAGGCTAATGAGTCTTGACTAGGCAATTTCAACAATTCACTCAATCTACTTCGCTTTATGTGATGCTGTGCAAATCAATAAGCAATATATATATAATATTTGGGTGAGTTGACGTGACACTATCGTGGTTAAGCTTTCCAAAAACATAACCTACTTTCCCAATTGAGCCCTAAGCAAAGAATGCCAAGGTAACACTGATTCTTTTAGTCGCATGCCAAACTAACAAGGCATGGCTCAATCTAAAAGACCACGATCCTCCTTCAAGTTATCATAATGTTTAGCTAAGCTCACTGTGGTGATGTTCTACACGGCTCCATCCTAGAGCAACAGCCAAAACATCACCCACTAAAACAACGATATCAACAACTCGACCAATGCTAAACTATCAGGACCACTAAAATACCACAATTGTGGAGTAATTTTTTGTTGATGAAATAAAAATATTACAGCAAGGTAACCTAAAATCAGGATAGTAAGAACTCCCCTCTCCAAATAATCGACTAAAGCATGTTACCTAAGCATCTTACCTAGCTTTTCTAATCAAACTTGGCAAAAGGTCTCAACAAAACTCCATTGCGCATTCTATCACATGAAACCAAGTAAAAAAAAAGGAAAAATTTCTACATTCCACCCTAAATAAAATGAATATTATTATGCAATGTATATGAGCATTCATAGTCCTTATGCTCACAGACTTTTATGAATTTTTGTTGCTTTAACAAAAATTATAATTGTTTTTCTAATTTCCAGAAAATTTTTATAGACAGGAGGGCTACCACCAACGACTCCACCAAGCCAACAATTGAGGTGAACAACCAGCTCAGAGGAATCATCCTCACATATGTTAGGCGAAAGAAGATCACTAGCCCAGGATGAAAATAAAAAGGACAAAAGTACCATAAAAGAAGCTCTCCTACCATCAGAAACAATATGAGGAATACCGACTACGCAATCTCCACACCATGCCTGCCTTTTCAGCAAATAATGGACTAGCTTGAAAAAGTTGCAAGGTGGGGACCAGTGTAGAAATGAGAGTGGACATAAAAAGGGACATTAGTGTAGGATGCTAGCAAGGCATGACATCAATCACTCGTAGATAGTGATAGTAAGACCCTAAAAATTTCAAGCAGCGAGCATGCTTAACACACAAGTCATGCATCAACAAGAAGCCTCTCTCCTATTTCTAGAGGAGAGAGAACGCACTGATAGCTCCACCCATCCTATATTAAAGGAAAACCAATTATCCAGCAACAACG